ATAATTTTTGATTCTCACTTACATTCTCCTATGTACTTCCTGCTGGCCAACTTGTCCCTCATTGATGTGGGCCTCTCTTCGATTATAGTCCCCAAGACAAAGACCTTTTAAATGAATGCCAAGTAATTTCTTTCCAAGGTTGTATAGCACAGAAATGCTTCATCCACATCATAGGAGGACTGGAGATGGTGTTACTCATCGCCATGGCATTTGACAGGTGCACAGCAATCTATAAGCCGCTTCACTACCTGAACATGATGATAAAATATGTGTTTCATTTGTAATCACTGGATGGGTAACTGGGCTGATTCATGCTATGTCTCAGTTTGCTTTGATTATAAACTTGCCTTTTTGTGGTCCTAATGAAGAAGACAGCTTTTACTGTGACTTCCCAGGATCATAAAACTTGCATGCACAGATGCAGCCAAGTTTGAGTTTATTATTGCTGCCAACAGTGGCTTCATGAGCATGGGCACCTTCTTCCTGCTACTTCTTTCCTATGTCTTTATTTTGGTCACTGTCTGGAAACATTCTTCAGGAGACTTATCCAAAGCATTTATCACTCTGTCAACTCACATCATTGTCGTAGTTCTTTTTTCACTCCATTCATGTTTCTCTATGTATGGCCTTTCCCCACATCATCAATTAATAAATACCTGTTTGTTGTTGACTTTACTATCACCACTGTCACGAATTCTGCCATGTGTACATTACAGAACAAAGACCTAAGGGTATCAATAAAACAATTGTGCAAAAAGATAGCATATTCCAGAATTTGTTGACCACATATATTTTTGAAGCTTTAAAACAAAATACCCAAGTGCATGCTGGCCATCTCCACTTAGGTACTCCAAATTTAACATACCTTGAACAAACTCATCATCTGCCATCCTAATCCTGCTACTACTTCACTTGTGGAGTATAAGACCATTACCATGATGGAAAATGTAAATACATCACGCTAAAAATTGATATTCTTACAGCAAACAGCATCATCAGACAAAAACGTTTTAAATTTGAATTTCTGGTTATTTTGCAAATAAAAGGATATAATAACATGGTTTCTGCTATTCATAAAGTCTAAAAATAATCTGTAAAATGTCATAATGAATCTCAAGCATCATCAAACTGAATTGTTACATATGTATTTGTGTATGTGTACATATATGCGTGTGTGTGTGTGTGTGTGTGTGTACACAGTGGCTTTAAAAGAAGACCGAGAGACAAAATCAGAAGGTAAGGAATTTATTTAGAAGGGACTGCTAGGAGACTGGTTCGGAAGTGGAGACATGAGACACAGAAAACAAAGACAGCAGAGGATGTATTAACTAATATCCTACTACTGTGAACATTAAGGTACAATCCTACTGTGGCCCTCTAAGTGACTGTACATATTCTATGACATTTAATTGCTTCACTTGAGAGGGAAGCTGTTTACTTCTGTATTGGGGTAGCTCTGAGGCATTGACTCCATGGCAGTTCCAGGCTTCCCCACATAGTGGGTTAAGCAGTTATGACATCTAAAGAAAAGTCCTCAGGCAGAATATCTCTGCAGCTTATGGTGTAAAACAATCTACATTCTTAGGAATATTATGTGCAGAAGGATATATGCATGGCATCAAAAGCATCAGAAACAGTCCACATCTCCCCATGCTCAGAGACATTCATGCTCCATATAAATTCACTCCATCATTATCATTCAAACACAGAAGTATTAATGAAACAAGTGTTAATGGGTTCTATACACTGCACATGTTCCCAGGAAGATATTCACTATCTTCTTCCTCCCTAATCCATTCTAGATTTCCCACACATTTGTCCAGTACTTCTGCTGATCTAGATAACGTGTCCAGATCCATATCTTCTTATCTAAGAAGTTGAAATCCATGATTACCATGCTCTTATCAGGCTGTAATCACTGCAATTGCCCATTTAGAGTTACGACCACGTATAGTACCAATTCTATTTTTTCTGGGATAATGACAGTTAATTATACTTCGCATGATAGTAGCTGTTCCTTGTCTGCTGATCTATAAACACAAGGAAATCAAAATGACCAGTGAACTACTAAAACTTAGGTTTATTAAAATGCTTACTCTATCCCCAGAAGAAGCATTCATTCACCCCCCAGTGGAGGTCAAAGTTGTAGGTCCAGAAAGCTCAAGTTCTCTAAGGAAGTGATGGTTAATGGAGCCACTTTCACCATCTACTTTCATTCTCCAAACCTATGCATTCTAGAACATAATACTTTATAATGTCCATTGGTTCAAAGTATGTATTGCATGTTAAAGCACAAAGTGTCTCCCCAAATGCACTTACTTATACCTTTACTTGCACCATTAAAAGGCTATTCTCATGTTCTATCATACAGACAGCTTCTGCATGACACAGCATATTGTTGCACCAATGGATTACTTGTTTGTGTGCTCACTGTTGTACTTTCTAGGCTGTAAAGATATTTCTTTGCCCAAAGCAATGTTATGAAGGATATTAGACATTCCGTATGTCTTTGGATCACTTAATGGCCAAGGTACAGTTGTAAGAATAGTCAAAGCCATACATGGAAAACATGTTTATCCCAGTAAGAACTATCCGCTCTTCTTCCAGCATGAAAAAGTCCTCATGTAAATAACTAGTCATCAAGTTGCTGATTAAATTCATCCAGAGATAAAACCACATCAGGGTTTAGCATGTATCTGTGCTTCTGGAAGGACATTCAACAGTGGTTGTCACTATACCTGCCTTACTGAGAAGAAACCATACTGAAAGAATCCATGCAAAGACTTCATCTTTAACATTTAAAACTACTTCATTCAAGGGCTCAGGGGTACAGAAAGGAACCATGAAAAGACTTCATCCTTACTATTCAGAACTAACCTCTTCATTCATGGGCCTATTATACAAGCACTAGAGTGGCTGAGCCAGGTGATCAGCTCTGCTATTTAACACTATTCTTGGAGTGTAGTAAGAACAGAAACATAAATAAGAATTTACTTGTATTTCTTCATGCTTTCTTCCAGCTAAAGAAGCAATTATATCACATATCAATATGGCCCATGTGTAAGTAACCACTATTCACTTTAACTGACAATCCCAGTTATACAGAAATTTAAAAACTGATCCACACTTATGAGGACAAATATTATAGACTAGAGTCATTTGACAATTCCCAGCAAAATACAAGGTTAATTGTGGTTTTGTGTGTGTGTGTGTTTTTGGTGTTTTGTTTTTTGCTTTCCTTAAACACATGAAATAAACAAGTAACCCATTTGGTATGAAATGGAGAGAATAAATGAAATATCAGCCACAGAAACCAATATGTTAACATTTAAGGAAAGGTTGAGGTAGGAAATCTGTTGAATGTACACTCAAAATAATGAAAATACAATGATTAGAATAGTAAACAAAGTCCAGGACGGATTTAGGTTTGATCCTATAGTAAATGTGGATTCCCAAAACGGGAGTGGATAAATCCATATACGCACAAATAATTAAGCATTTGAACAAACAAAATGGTTAGGTTCTTCATGCCATACAAGACACGTGTTCAAAATAAAGTGGATCAAAATATTTTTTATATTGTGTCATAAAACAGCTTTTAAAACTGTTGGTGGAATTCATATAATTGTTCTATAAAATATGGAATTTTAAACAAGGCAACGCAAAGAGAAAACATGAACAAAGACTATATTTTGCCAGACTAACTTTAAATTTGTCAAAAACAAATGTAAAGACTTCTGCTTTTTAGTTCTGCACGTGAGAAGTTTGGAATAATTACTCTATCCTGACAAGTTAAAAGTGGAACAGACTGAAAAATCAACAACTCTTCTTGGGTCCGAAAGAGAGGGGAGGACATGGGGCAAACTGCTACCCCAAGATTAGAGAGACAGACAGGCAAATATGGGCCATGATAGCTTATTGAAGCAGACACAAACCTAAACCATGATTGATGAATTCCTGGAGGGTAGACAACTCTGAGAGTTAAAAACTGTCCAGGAGGACATACCCATAGGGGGCATCAATAATACTGTGAAATTTACTTTAGGCAGCTTGACCAGATTCACCTAATAAATATTTGAGAAAAACTTCCTCAGACTTTTGGCAGAGGGAGAGGAAAAGGAGCCATTTGGAAACATGCCAGAGCACTCTGATTTTTCTCAAGAATCCCTGCCCTCAGGGAAACTAGTTAATCAAAATCTAACCTACTAAGTATAAGAGTCTAACTGACCTGGGAAGGCAAATATCCAACTCCAGCCCACTCCAGCCATCATGTCCCATCTAAGAGAAAAGAAAAAAAGTGAGAAACACTTGTGAAGTTTACAGTTCAGAAACAGACTCACGCAAAATCAAGACTTAATTATAGCACTACATAATTCTTCCTCTCTACTCACACCTCACCACCACATTACCAAATGCCTATTTATAGCAGTTTCTTTTATTGAGTATGCCATGTCTACCTATCAAGAAGAAATCACAAGATATACTTAAAGGCAAAAGCAAAATTTGAAGAGACATAACAAGTATCAGACCTAGACAAAGCAAGAATGTTGGAATTATCAGACCAGAAATTTAAAACTATGATTAAGAGCTCTAATGGATAAAGCAAACAGCATGCAAGAACAGATGGCCAATATAATCAGAGAGATGGAATTCCTAATGGAAAAAAAGAAATACTACAGGTCAAAAACACTATAACAGACATAAGGCATAAAGAATGCCTTTGATGGGCTTATCGGTAGACTGAACATAGATGAGGGTAGAATCCCTGAGCCAGATGATATATTAATAGAATCCTTGAAAACCAAAAGGCAAAGAGAACTAAGAATAAAAAAAAAAAAAAAAAAAAAAAAAAAAAAAAAAGACTAGAATGGAACACCTAAGACCTATGGGACGACTAAAGAAGATGTAGCATGTGTAATGGGAATATCAGAGAGAAACAAAGAGAAAAAGAAACAAAAATATATTTGAAACAGTAATGACTGCGAATTTTCCCCAGCTTAATGTCAGACAACAAGCCACAGATCCAGAAATCCCAAAGACCAAGCTGGATAAATGCCCCCCAAAAACACACCTACGCGTATCATTTCCGAATTGAAGAAATCAAAGGTAAAGAAAAAAAATCCCCAAAGAAGTCAGAGAAAAAATATCACCCTACCTATTAAAAAATAAATAAATAAATTACATCCAACTTTTCCTCAGACACCATGCAAAAGAGAATAGAGTATAACATTTAGAGTATCGAAAGAAAAAAAAGTAGAGCCCTAGAATTCTGTACCTTTCAAAACTATTCTACAAATGTGAAGGAGAAAGAGATACATTCTCAGAGAAATAAAAATTGAGTGAATTTGCTGCCAGGAGACTTGCCTTGAAAGAAAAGTTAAAAGAGGTTCTTCAGAGAGAAGAAATCCCAGCAACTTATTTTATAGGTACTGAAAACCTGATTCTAACGCTTACATGGAGAGACAAAGACCCACCATAGCCAACAAAATATTGAAAAACACAGTTCAAGGAGTGACATTACCTGACATCAAAGCTTACTATAATATTACTTACTCTGGGTATTATTGTGAGGTTTTAGCAAAATTTCCTCCTTCTCTAATTGTTTAAATTCATGTTATGCAAAAATAAAGACTAAGTTTTTAAAAACGTACTATAAACCTATAGTAATCAAGACAGTGTGGAATTGGCACACACACACACACAGACACACACACACACAAAGATAGGTAAATCAATGGAATAGAATACATAACTCAGAAATAAACCTGCATAAATATTCTCAGCTGATTTTTTACAAAGGAACAAGACATTATAATGCAGCAAAGACAATCTCTTCAACAAGTGGTGGTTAAAAAAAAAACAAAACAAATACCCACATGCAAAAAGGAAAAAAAACAAAAAAAATCTATACACAGACCTTACACTCTTCAAAAAGAATTAATGCAAAATTGATAATAGACCTAAATGTAAAATGAAAAATTATAAAACTTCTAGAAAATAACATGAGAAAACTTGGAGGATCCTGGATATAAGGATGCCTTTTTATTTTCTTATTGAGGTATAATTTATATATAATATTATGTTAGTTTCAAGTGTGCAACATTATGATATTTGTATATTTTGCAAAATTATAGTAATGTCCTTTCAGATACAACATCAAAGACACAATCAATGAAAGAAATAATTGATGAGCTGGACTTTACTAAAGTTAAAAACTCTGCTCTGCAAGAGACTATATCAACAGAATGAGATTAGCCACAGACTGAGAAAAAATATTTGCAAAAGAGACATCTGATGTTGAACTCTCTAATAAAAAGAGTTAAGTGGCTAAATGACTGAAAGAAAACCTGCCTAAGTGACATATCAGATAAAGGGTTAGTATCCAAAATCTATAAAGAACTTATCTAACTCAACACCCAAAGAATAAATAATCCAGTGAAGAAATGGGCAAAAGACATGAATAGACAATTCTCTAAAGATGACATCCAGATGGCTAACAGACCATGAAAAGATGCTCAACACCACTCATCACCAGGGAAATACAAATCAAAACTAGAGTGAGATAACACCTGACACCTGTCAGAATGGCTAAAATGAACAACTCAGGCAACAACAGATGTTGGCAAGGATGCGGAGAAATAGGAACCCTTCTGCACTGCTGGTGGGAATGCAAACCGGTGCAGTCACTCTGGAAAACAGTATGGAGGTTTCTCAAAAAATTAAAATAGAACTACCCTACAACCCAGCAATTGCACTACTAGGTATTTATCCAAAGTATACAAAAATGTGGATTCAAAGGGGCACATGCACCCCAATGTTTACAGCATGGCTACTGACAATAGCCAAAGTATGGAAAGAACCCAAGTGTCTATCGACTGATGAATGGATAAAGATGTGGTATATATACACAATGGAATATTACTCAGCAATCAAAAATAATGAAATCTTGCCACTTGCAACAACATGAATGGAACTAAAGTGTATTATGCTAAGTGAAATAGAGAAAGACAAATACATGATTTCACTCAAATGTGGAATTTAAGAAACAAAACAGATGAACAAAGGAAAAGGAAAGAAAAAATAAGATAAAAACAGAAGGGGA